TAATAATAATAATAATAATAATAATAATAATAATAATAATAATAGTAATAATAATAATAATAGTCAATTAGCAAATGCGTTTACAGCCTGCTGCATAATTATAGGTAATCGGAATAATAATATCGGTATAAAAAATTATTATTGTTATGACTAATATTGACGGTATACTTTTATATTCGGAGCGTAGTGAGGAATGTATTTGTTTTACAACAATGTTTTTTAAATTCTACGCTCCACTCAGAAGCTTATGGTCTTAAAACGATGTTTATTATTATTATTTTTTATCTGTGAACATTTCGACCAGTAATTTTGCTCCGATTTACAATGATATCACTTTTTCTCAAAGAAAATCTGACCGGGGAGGTATTTAGGGAGGTTTTGATTTTCCCAATCGTTTTTCGTTAGCAATGGTTAATTGTTGTATACAGACACACATTGAATTTTCCTTCTATCTTCCCAACTTCTCACCTACAAAAGTGGTTCACTCATGTGCGAAGTATGTCCGTCTTTTTATTTTTTCACTTTATATAATTTTTAAGATAGATTTTGTAAAAGATATTATTCTGAAAATTGTGAAGTAATTCCTGTTTTCCCAATTAATGAAATCCTCTTAGAAAATCAAAAATGACCTCCCAATGCACCAACTAGATAAAATTGGTAGATAAAAAGGTGTTACATTTGATGATCGGAACAAAATTTCAAATAGAAAAGTTGTTCAAAGACAGAAAACTAAAGGTACAAGAAAAAAAAACACACATCATAGTAAAACCACTTGTTCTTTCGTTACGCTCTGAATCTAAAACAATTTTATTATCTTTATTATCTTCGGAGATATTACAATGGGTATATCTTTGTTGAACATCCTGTATTATGAAATTTTTTTTAAATTTTCAATTATTTGTCATTCTTTTCAAATATACGCATATATTCATACATGACTCTTTATATTGGAAATAATTATATGAATTCATTTCGCCGTGTTTCGTATTACGCATTTGTGCGTGAGGCAAGACGTACGTAGCTGGGAAGACGAATTCATTATATAAACAATAGTAGTTAAGTCAAAAATTTGTGTACTCTAGCATGTTATTATTGTTATGGTAATGGTAAGCCATCACTGTTAAAGAAATATCTCATATTGTATGATCAGATGGTCAGAATACATAATAATTTTGCTAAAATAATGTAATCTATTATGAAGAATTTCATTTTTGAAAATTATTTTCAAGAAAACATGCCGTTTTACTTACAATCAGTAAATTTAAACATTTAAACGTTTTTCGTTTTTGATACCTAATATACTTAATGTCCCACGAAGATATGATTATTGCAATATCTTGTGAAGTATTACCTTTTTTCGTAATTTTTTTTTTACCTTTAAACACAAGTAGCTCTCAAATTTCATATCACCATTATTTTTGACACCCTTTGAAGATGAACCGACTACTTACATTTGATTTCCAAATTCAACCTATATTCAAAATATCACAAATAGGTAAAATATTAGTTTTAATACAGTTTTGGTATTGATATGTTTGATTTCCATTTTCCGTCAACCTGTTGATGAGATATTTTACTTTTAAGTACGCTTAAGGGGAGAGTAGCGGAGTGCTATTCAAACGCCACGGCGCTGCAGCACAAATGATGCTCCACTACTTTCTTCCTACACAAACTTAAAAGTGGAATATTTCGTTAATTCCAAAATGTATTTAAACCTATACTTCGTCTATTGATGCATTTTTTTTAGTACAGGTTGCCATTTGAAACTCAAACGTAGGTAATCAGTTTACCCCAAAAAATAATGGTAATGTTACCATTTAGAGCTGATTGTTTTCAAAAATGTCAAAAATAATAATAAAAAATTCCGAAAAAGTTTATAGTTTCCAAGATGCGATGTATAGATAATAATGTGATTCTGGTTTCCTTTTAATTTCCGAAAAATATACAAAAATATGGCTTTACAGCTGTTTAATATAATTGGATCCAATTGGGTCATACAATATATTATATTATTATCGTTTTCTGGCAACTGAAAAACAAAAAAACCGCGTCGTCATCATGTTCGTTTAAGTATACAGAGTGATCTATTTATCATAATTTTCCGATTTTACGTGAATTTGATTTTTGGATTTTAATGAATCGTGAGTAGCATTAAAAGATTGAATAGTAAACAATTGAAAATAGTGCTATAATCACGCTTAAACGATTTTGAAATTATTGAAAAAACATAATTTCGAGTAGAATTCAAGTGGATTAAATCCGCTTAAAATCCTCTCAGAAAATCGCTGGATTATGATAAATGGATCACCGTGTGCATAGTGTCTACTGTGCGGCAGTTCAAATATTTATCTATGGTTAACTATTATAAACTATGTAGACTAGTGTTTTCTACAGTGCATATGCGTATTCTGAAGTTTAGAAGCCAAGCGATCTTCGTAAAAATATTATCTTTACAACCAAATATATAAGTACAAAACAATTTAAGATATTAAATAATTCTCAGCACACGCACACTGATTATATCGCGATAAACCTAAAAGGTAAGTATTAGTTTTATTGTTTTTTAAAATTTATTTCAAAGTGGAAAGCATCTATTGGGCGTATCATACGAATGCACGTGGTCTTTACCAGTGTTATCAGTGGCACCTTTTTAGGCGTACGGTTGTTTGCGCTGCATCATTTGTACTTCTATGCAATGTTATCAAACAGTGTCGGCCTGGTCAAGGCAGCTAGGCAGTGATCGCTGCCCAGGTCCCTAGCTTTTTTTTTTGTACCATAGATACGCGGAGTACGTAGATACATTATAATTTATAAATAATGGACACACCAAGAAACAATCAGATATTTCTCAAATAAACAAGCAATAGTCGATAAGATAGATAAAATCTCGTGGTTTAGGAAAATCGATACAACATTAAACAAATATTATTAAAGAAAATATGTAAAGTATAAGTATATATTAAGTATGAGGTATTTAATTATTTTACTATAATATGACATATATATATATATATATTATTGACAAAGCATCCCTATCAACTGAACTCCGCTCAGAATCGTTTTTCGTTAGCAATAGTTCATCGTTGCTTACAGGTATACATTAAATTACCTATAACAGTGACTGCATCCGCATCCATTATCCTAGGACGTCTTTTTAATAATTTCTTTTATACCAAAGGTAATATATATAAAGTTGACATTTATTTTAATTTGTAATAATTTACAAGTTGTTTTAACTCTTAAAAAATAAAAATTGAATGAACTATATCTGACGACTGAACAATAATATGCGAGTGATCAGGTAAGTTGGGCTCCTAAAAATAAATTCTGCCTGGGCCCTTTGATGACCAGGCCGATACTGTTGTCAAGTATTCATAGACGTTAATATTAACACCGTTCATATTATTCACATATCTAAGGTAAGGTTAGGATATGGTGACCATATTTAAAAAAATAAAAAGCAAGAAAAAATAATTTCATAATACATTCAAAGTAATATTTATTAATTATTACAGTTTTTTTTGTTAATTTTTCATAATTATGCCCATATATTATTAACCTTTTTTAAATACACCCGTATATCTTAAATATATTATCATTGGTATAAATTCTCGTAGTTATTATTTTTTATAAATACAATCGTTTCAAATTTATTTCATTCAAAAATAACATAACACTTTAACCTGTATGTTAAAATTATAATTAATTTTTATCTAATTAAATAAAATAAGAATTAATATGGAATAATTGGCATCGACATTAAAAATAGGACAAAAAGCGTCCTGAAAGAAGTTCGTCAGGACAACAGGACATAAATTTGAAAAAGAACAATCAAAATTTATTCAAAGTAATCCTCCATTTATTTATGGAGTTTTTAATATAGGTTCTCATTTGAAAAACCAAAGTTGTTATCGCCACAGGATAATCCTTGAATGTAGTGAAAAATCTAAGTATTCGAAAATATCGGCTTTAACTACACTTAAAACTTTTGAAAATCAGAATTTGAATATGTATTCAAAATTTAACCAAAAAAAATGGGATAAGCACGCTTAGTGAACCATCCTGTATAATACGATTGGATTCTTGTGTTTTGTAATGTTTTGTAGAATGATTACTCCGGTTATATTTTTGTTTTGGACGTGTTTGCTGAGTTTTAAGGCGATCGAAGAGATTGATGGGCTCGAAAATGGACTAGCACGGACGCCGCCGATGGGATGGCTCGCGTGGCAACGTTACAGATGTATTACGGATTGTAACACGTACCCTGACGACTGCGTCAAGTTAGTTAAAATTAAAAATACCTAAGTATTATAGTACGGCTATCTAATCAACAATCCCAACGAAAACATTAATAACTCTGGGAAAAATAAACACAATTTATGAATTTGTATTAATCGTATATTTTATAATGTACCAAGTGACTTTTATTAATTATTAGTTAATTTTATAATACAATCTTTACAGTAGTACTTATAATAAAATACAATAAATAATTTATATACCAGCAAGTTGTAGACAGAAACAAATAAATTCGAACAGTAAAGTACATTTGTATCTGAAACAATAACGTTTCGAACTATTAGCCTGACAATACATAGATTTTTTTAAAAATTTTTTTTTGTGATTATTTAGCATTCTTTTTTCAGCGAGGATTTATTTAAGCGAACAGCAGATTTATTGGTTAGCGAAGGTTATGCGAAATTGGGTTACGAATATGTCATTGTTGATGACTGTTGGTTAGCCGAAAACAGATCGGCTGATGGAAAATTACAAGCCGATCCGATTAGGTTCCCAAGTGGTATTAAATCGTTAGCAGATTATGTGAGTACTGCGTTGCTTGTATATTTTTATATTTGTTTCTTCTTCAAAAGATCAATCCGGACATAAATTAAATCGAATAGAATTTATTTTTAGGATATTTTGTTTCGTTTAAGGATTTTTTGTTCCGCTATTGATTTTTAACGAAAATAATAAAATATTATCTTTTATTTTTGTAAAAATATTAAAAAAGATTAAAGTATCCCCATAGAGCAGAGGTTTCCAAACGGGATTTTATAAACCTCCAGGGGTTTATTCTGACCTGAAGTGGATCATGTTATCGAAAACAAAAATTGGAGGCGCAAGAGATGTAAAAAGGTGTTGACGAGAATTATTAAGTAAAAAACGCGTTAATAGTATTTTTTACGATAAAAACGCGTGGAAAATAAGTTTAGGAACCTCTGGTATAAAGGAAAAAAGTATTCCAAAAGGGAACAGATTATCCTCGTGAAACAAAATGTCACTTTTCATATTATACATCTGATGATCAATTATTATTTGATTTATACCTATTTATAAAAGGATTATAATTCATAGATAATTAATGCACAATATTATAATGTTTGTTGATTGTTAAGCTAAATTAATCCAATCGAAATGATTTGCCAATAGGTACATCAAAAAGGACTTAAGTTTGGATTGAATGAAGACGTGGGCACTAAAACATGTGCAGGATATCCAGGTGTATTTGAAAACGAAGAGCTGGACGTTAAAACATTTGCCGAATGGGGAATAGATTATATTAAACTGGGCGGTTGCTATTCAAACGTTAGAGAATTGGCTAAAGGTAAAACTCAGAAAAACTAAACAATATATTATAACACAGCCAATCTATAGTTTTATAATACTTTTAACTACACATGCAAAAAAGGATACGTTAAATTTGGAACGTATTTAAAAAAATCAAAAAAAGCAATGGTGTATTCTTGTAGCTGGCCGGCGTTTCAAGAGGCACAAGGACTGCACGTAAAAGTATATGAACGTGATAATAATAACAATTACTAATTTTTTTTTTTTAATTTTGTTATTAGGTTGACTACGACTTGGTGGCAAAACATTGCAACCTTTGGCGTAACTACTCTGATATCAATGATTCGTGGGAAAGTATGATACAAATAGCAGATTATTTTGCAGAAAAACAAGAATTATGGGCAAAGTACGCTGGACCTGGACATTGGAATGATCCGGACATGGTAATAATTATACATAGACAATTTATATACTATCTGTATACTAATATCTATATGAATACAAATCAATTGCCGCATGTATAAAAGATCATCACTTGAGACCGGCTCGACCGATTTGGCTAAATTTTGTTGTTGTTATGTTCGGAATTGCCAGGAAAAGTCACTGAAAAAACGGGAAAGTTTATGAAATATAATAAACATAATATTACAATTTTTTTTTCTGTGGACAACTTTTCTACCACCAATTTTGTTCTAACTTTTAATCATAGCAATGCTTTTGAAAGGAAATTTTACTAAGAAAGTACTTCAAAGAGGTCGTTTTTCGATTTTTCCTGAAGTTTTCTCAACAAATGTGAAAAACTGGGAAAACTGGGAAAATCGGTACAACATTATACAAATATCATTGAAGAAAATATATAGTCTATTTAATTATTTTACTATCATATGGCATATATATTGTTGACAAAGCATCATTATCAATTGAACTCCGCTTAGAATCGTTTTTTCGTAAGCAATGGTTTATATCGTTGCTTACAAGTATACATTAAATTACCTATAACAGTGGCTTCACCCATCCCCATTATGCTACTTTTTTCGAAATCCTCGATTTTACTGGTAGTACTTCTACTATTTGTAGACCTAATTCGCAGTAGGTTGGGCTGGATAAAAAAATAACAATTTATAGGCATTTTTAATTGATTAGTAACCATATAATTAATTCATATAAGTTTCAAAATAAAATACATTTTTAGTGATAGTGTCGGAAATTGAAACAGGGAATCCAGGAGGGAAAAGTTTTTATTACACATTTGTTTGGCATGGGCAACGTCGGGGCGGCACAAATATTTATTTTAAATACGTTTGTTTTTCAGCTTATAATTGGTAATTTTGGGCTTTCATATGACCAAAGTAAAACACAAATGGCAATTTGGGCCGTGTTAGCTGCACCATTACTCATGTCCAATAACTTGAAGGCAATTCAGTTAGAATTTAAAAAAATTTTACAAAATGAAGAAATTATTAAGGTCAACCAAGATGAACTTGGTATACAAGGCACTAGAGTGTTTCAGGTGTGAATTTTTTCTCGAATAATTAAATTCACGTTTCCATAAATTAAATATTAAAAAACGTATTTTAGGAAAACGGAATCGATGTTTGGGTTAGACCAATTAACCCAGTTAAAAATGGATACCATTCTTATGCAGTGGCATTTGTAAGTCGTCATGTGGGCGGAGCTCCTTATTTGCATAGTATAACATTAGACAATTTAGGCCTGACTAATCCGAGCGGTTATAAAATTGTGGTAAGAGTTAATAATATCTATTCATTTAAATTTGTGTTGTGCAATATTATTTGTTAATACTAACCATTCATCTATAACACGATAACATCTATTAACTGTGTGATTTGTAGAATCTTTTTGATCAAGAAAACGTACCTTATTGTACATTTGGTCCGAAATCTATTATTAAAGTCTTAGTCAATCCTACAGGTAATACAAATATACAATTTTATGGCAACTTTTGTGTATCGAATGCAGTTAATAATTTATTTATTAAAACTTAATAGGTGTTGTATTTTTGAGAATTAACGCAATTGATCCAATTATCCAAATACAAGAGACAAATTCAATTAAATTACGTGAAAAAACAATCAAAATAAATTCAATTAAATTACGTGAAGAAAACATCGAAACAAATTCGGATACTCTTCAAGTATCGTACTCCAGCATCCAGGAGCAGCGGTGGACACCGAATGCAGATATTATCAATCAATTAGTTGTACAAAGCACCGTATTTAAATAACAAGAAAAATCTATTGTTACAATTATATTTTTTTTAATTTTTAAAACGATAATTGAAACGGTAAATATATCATCGTTATCAAACTGATATTTTTTTTTACGATCTTCACAATTTCATTATAAGTGTATGCTTGTATAATTTCATAAAAATTATTATTATTATTAATTTTAATTTTGTAATTATTTAATTATTAAACAGTGTATAATTATTTATATTTATTTTTTACACCAAAACAATAATTGCCATACTAAAAAATTATATTTTATAAAGGTTGTCTACCTAGTACCTACCTACCTTCTATATTATAATTAATACAATTATTATGATATGATTAAAAGCAAGTTATTAATTATCGTTACGCAATGATTAATTATTGCTAACGAAAAACGATTCTGAACGGAGTTCGGTTAAACACGTTTCGATATTTACGATTTGAAAATAATAAATTTTGTAATTTTTTCCCAGTTTTTCTCATTTATTATGAAAACCCCAGGGAAAATTAAAAAAATGACCTACTCCAGTTTACAATGATTAATCGTTGCGTACAGGTATACATTCAATTTCTCTTCTACCTTTCCAACTTCACACCTATATCACTGACCCGACCCACTCATCGTAAAAAGTATGTTCGTTTGTTTTTCAATATTTTGTATACACGGTTTTATGGTAATACTGATCCATAGACGAGCTGCATCACTGCGATATGTTAGCTAGTTGCTATCAATGTATTTTGGTATAGGATAGGCCAGTGCTAGGGATGGACAAAATTGTTTGAACATCGATATCTGATGTATCGATACATCAGATAGGTCATATTTTGAAATTCTCATTAATATTTGAGATAATGAGGAAAAACTGGTTTTGTAATTAAAAAGATTAAACAATTAGAAATAAGGTTGCTATTGGCAACCGTTTTTAATTATTAAGTTTTTATTATTTTAATCTCTTAATTTCACAAATGATTAGTTGTCCTATGTTAAAAATTATATTAAAATGGATATTACTAAGAAGTTATTGATCGGATAAAAATGCATGATACAAATTTTAGAATGATATGTTTTATAAAATGGCTGTTTTGTAAAATTTTAAAAAGTAATTTTTTCTGTGATTAAGGATGAAAATAAAAATTTAATTTTTTTCTAAATTTGTGTCTCTCTGAAACAAAACCCGATTGAAAAAAAAAAATGAACATTGACAGAGTTATTAGCATTCGGATAACACTGTAGAATACCCTGTATAATAATATATGATAATAAGATTTTACCCGGGGTGATTGGATTTCGATATATGTTATCTCAAGCGTGGTGTTATTATATATATGTATACAAGAATTTGAATTATTTTTGTTCGCTCCGTCTCTTTCTAACTATTTCTTTCTAGTGTAAAGTTTTCGCCATATATCCCAGTTTATTCGGTAGAATTTATATTTTATTTACCTACCCACTTTGAAACGGTGAATCCCTCCCCCTCACCATTATTTTCGATAGAGCCGAGCTCCCATACGCGATAATATTATACAATTTTTGCGCTCCGTTTGCCGTATAAACGATATCGTTGTGTCCCGCGGCTCTTGCCCTTTAACGCACTTATTATTATACTTCCTATACTTTTCTGTCGACCGATTGTTCCTTATATTATATTATTCAATTCCGAACCGTGTATACCGTTTTGAAATTTCGCAAAAGCACACCTTGATACGTATGATAGGTACCTACTGCGTGTATAAAAAAATTGCCAATAAACGGGACATCGTTTTCGTATCTATATATCCAAGTAGGTTGGTAACCTATCGATACAATTTATCCTTAAAAAATATTGTCTCAAAACATTAAATTGAAATTACATGCAATGTGTTTTATTTGAAATGGTAACATGAAATATGTAACTGAATGGACTTAGATTTTTTTTTAAGACCAAAATACACGTGTTGAGCTTAAAATGTTAACCCTTGTGGTGAATTCATTCCCTATAAACCTTAAATGTGATCTAAAGTTTATTAAAAAATATGGTTTTCTCGATTTTCAACAAATTAAAACGCATGATTTTAAAGGTAAAAAATAATTAGTAAAGATAATTATATAATTAAATGTACGTAAATAAATATACCTTCATATGTTTTTGAAAAATTGAGTTAAAATCATATTATTTAATTGGGTNATTAAATGTACGTAAATAAATATACCTTCATATGTTTTACATTTTTTTGAAAAATTGAGTTAAAATCATATTATTTAATTGGGTAATTTATGAAAAAAATAAAACTAATATTTACGTTTAAAAAAATGTTTTTTAAAAAAGATTTTTATATCACAAGTAGTAAAATATTGGTATTCACACTAATCTTCCTGAAAAAAATTCCATTTTGATCTAAATCATTCACCAGCTGTTATATTTCTATTTGCTTAAGACACACTTTATAAGCGTTCGCAATTACAATTTGACACGTAATTGAACTATTTATAGTACCTATTATAGTAACCACTGAAAATGGTTTTCAAAAAAAAAAAAAAAAAAATGTTCTAAACATTACAAATAATCAGTGGCGTACGCGGGAAGGGGGGAGGATAGGGGTTGGTTAAGTTTGGTTAGCATGGAAATGAAAAAAAAAAAAATATAAGTAGTAATTAAATATCGAACGAATATATTTCAGTTAAGTTACGAGTTAAAGCTTAATGTATTTGTTAATTGAGAAATTGTTAATTTTTTTTTTTAGGTTCCAGCTTTTACATTACCAATAACTCCCGGAGTCGAATCACGAAAATAAGACGATTTTACAGTTCATTTTTTTTGCTACATCCCCTCCCGTTGAAAATTCCCGGACACGCCACTGTGAATGACGATCGAAACCACGGTGCGACGTAGCTGAAACAACGAAAAAAAAAAATAGACGACCAATATTATTTTCGTTACTAACTAACAATAACCGTGTTAATAAAATCGTATTATAGTATCCGCCTACACAAATATACGATTTGACGAATAACAAATACGATTGCGAAACAGAAAATAATTATGTTTTATACGCACGCGTTAATATTTCTATCAAAACATTACACAGCAGCAGTAAAGTATAGTAGTAGTAAAGTAAACATGGTGGGACACACTGTATAGACATACGAAGTTAGTTAATGAAAAGGAGGGGTGTCTATGTTCCAAGAAGTAGGGGTTGTTTTTTATTAGCTTAGAGGTGCTTTTTAGGTGAATCAGGCTTAGTGTACAGTAATTACAGTAAGTATGTTACAATATATGTTCTATATAAATGATTTTCAAACGGACGTCATAAAGCGGATGATGAAAAACAATTTTTTTTTTTTATTTATAAATAAATAAATATAAATAAACTGACACTTACTACTTGTATATTAAAATGCTTTCGTGGCCAAAATTTTAATTTTCTTGATATCATTAATGTAAGGTTTCTTTCATTCAATTATTTTAAATTAGAAAATGTAAATGTCGTCCCCTTTGAAAAAAAAAAAATGACGTGACACGACAGCCGCTTGATGGAAAGCGGCACATTTTTTCATGCGTTTAGAACTTAATTAGCCGCATTTCCCGGAGGTGTCCGATTTTAGTAATTAAAAAAAAAAAAAAAAAAACGATAATAATATTATTACTGTCGTAAAATATTAGCGTTGCAATGCAGCGAATCGTCACTTATCCGGAGGACAAAAAAAAAAGTTTCCTGCGGTTGTTTTATTTAATGACGTTGGTGAATCCGTTTTGTATAACGTTTATTTAACTCTCTGTGTCACGGGTTTATAAACGATTTCGTTTGGCGGATGTATACAGTGTGTTTCGTTCAAACGGTAAAACGCAATATTTTAACCGGACGGACTCCGATTGAAATGGAGTCGGGTTTTTTTTTAGGAAGTTCGGTGGTGAAACACACGGTATATATACGTGTGTACGAGTATGATGCGAACGCGGATGATTCGAACACGAAGTGTTACCGTATTAAATTATGTTGAACCGCGTGTAAGGTTTTACGAAATGATAAACAGTAGACCCAAGACTAATGAGGGTACGCGTGTGTACATATAGGCGTTTGAAATTTATTAGACTGTGTGCACATACGAGACTGAAACAACAATGTACCCACTGTACCTAGTTATTACAATCTACCAGATGTATTAATAGAGCGCGGTCGACGAAATCGTAAACGTTAATTATTAAAAAAAAGAAAAAAAAAGTCATCCGGATATATTTCACATTAACGGTGGTACGCTGTTATTGGTCGAACATTTGGGACGATAGGTCAATGCAATCAAAACACTTATCCGAGTAGAGTTTATACGTGGTTTAACAAACGTTTATGTAAGTATATTTACCTTATACCTTTCTTCTGCGTGAAACCTGCACGAAACCATGAAAAAAAAAAAAAATTAAAGTGTTTGGAGTTCCAGTATAAAAATTGAAATTTACAAATCTAATTTCGAGATGTTGGCGAACAACCCCATCTATGATCAATGTTTTTTAGAAAAACTGCTGGAAATCTAGACAATATTTTGTAAACAAAGTATACACCTATCCCACAGTCACGAAATCAGAATTTTCGGCTTCCAATTTCTATAAAAACTTTATGTTCACGGTAAAGAGCTGGCGTCGGATCTCTCTTGGAATAAATATACTCACTATCAAACCGCACTGCTACCAAGTACCAATAGTACTTGTGTAACATTATAACACACAATTTTTGTTGTTATAAAGACAATAAATCACGCTAAAGTTTTATGATAACCGTTAATTAATGACCACAGAATGATGTTTGAAACATTGAATGTTATTGTTACCTATCACTTATCAATAAAAATATGGGGGTTGGTCTGACCTTATCTCGATTTGCATTACATTAATTATGAAACACCAAAATGCATTTTAACTAAAACGTCCATTTATTAATGGGATTTTAAATATAGGTTGCTGTATTAAGATTAAAATTGAGTAGTGGTTTTACTTCCAAAAATAATGGAAATGTAATATTTTAGACCTACCTGTTTCATAATTCGTCAGCAAAAAAATAAATTACAAAAAAACTATATACTTTTTGAAACATCGAGTACAGACACTTAAATGGATTACCTGGTATTGTGAAACAATATATAAAATAAATAAATATAGTAAATAGATAAATAATTATAATAATAAAACATTTATACATAAAAATAAAATAAATAAATGAATTAATGCATTGCCTGGAGTATTATGATAAGTGCATTATACGACCGGTTTTGAATTAAAAATTCATTATCAGGTATATCACTGTCAAAATGTAAATTCGCGTTTTACATTTT